GCTTACCCATAGCATAAATAATGTCTTTATATGTAGTCTAAGTTGTGGTTATTATAGCAAGTGACAATAGGAGCCAGTCATCCGTTACGGAAAGTCTTGGCCTTCTTAATAAGTGGATGTTCATTATTCTGGTAACAGTAACTTCGTCCTAGAAATTAAAGCTGAGTAATATGTGTCTTATCTTTCAGAACCTTAAATGATTTTTCCTTTCAGCTTGTTAGCTGAGGAATACTTTTCTATGTCAAGGTTCTGTCTACTTCCTGTATTAAATACAGAGCTGGATGCATAGTAATATAAGCCTGAGCCCTCTCTGGCACGCCTTAAATTATGTGCGTCACTTAGCTAAATGTAAATTATGTTGTGCGTGCATCCTAAGTAAATAATTTCCATTATTTATCAGATCCAGCCATTAGATGATTCTAAAAATACTCATGTTCTCAGTGGCATTTTTTTTCAGGAGTTGACTCTTTGGGTACCAAATTACAATCAGGACTGAAATGCTTCATAATTTCACGGTACATTGTATCAAAGGTTATCAAGTGGCTTTAAATATCAGTGATGATTCTCCCTGCACTGTAACTGAAGGTGGCCTAAGGGAGGTAAAATCTGAGTTATTTCTAATAATGCAGACAGTCTTGAAAGCTTTGTTTGATGTTTCCTTCTACTAATTTCTCATTGCAAAGTCTGATAGCCTGTATTTAACTTACTGTTTTCTTTTAGTTTTACGTGGCATAACTGATACATCCTTCTAAATGTGAAGCCCTTAAGAGTATATTTTGGGGCCAAAGGGAGTAGCTCAGCAGTCTAAGTGCCTGCTTAGGCAAGCGCAAGGACCCAGGTCTGATCCTTGGTACCATGTGTTGTGCAAGCTCCGCCCTGGAGCTGGCTACCAAGACTGGGCTTGGTGGTGCATGCCTGTAATCCCAGCACTGCGGAGGCTGAGACAGGAGGATCTCTACGAGACTGAGCTGAATTTAAAAAAAAAAAGAATATATTTTGTCTGGTAGTTTCCAGACAGAAATAACCTTCAAACAAATTACTAGCCTGCTACCCAGAATAATTCAGATCCCTGGCTTGTAGCACCCCATGTGTTGTGGAAGCTGTCCCATGTATTTCCTCTATGTTTGAGTTAATTCCAAATCTCTTAGCATTTGCACACCAGATTCCCTTGGCTTTAGCCATTTTTGTGGTCTTCTTTGTACTTATTGTGTGTTAATACCTCCACTAATTTTTAAACAACAGGGTGTCTGGGCAGTGTGGCCCTGTGGAGGGGAAGCAGAGAGAGCTTGGGGCTTCTGAACCTGAGCACAATGTTACTGCCCAGGCATTTTAGCTTTAAAGCATAACTGTGAAGGACGATATCGTAGAGGCTGCTTTGGCAGCCCAGTATGTTCTGTAAGAAAGTAGGAGCCTTCATAGCTTAGCCTTGGTGGTGGCAGGTTTTGATAAACTTACTTCTTTTCTCAGAATTACAGTTCTTTCCTCTTATTATGAAGGGAAAGCACCACCTGCTACAGATGGATACAGAGACAAAGTCAGACAGATTTTATTAGAAAAGAAATATATTGCCCAGGAAAAAATGCTGCGGAGAACAAAGATCGTGATGCTATTATAATATATATGGGATAAAGCAAGCTCTTATCTGTCTCTAGATCCTTTATTATGAAAGATATTTTCTGACCTGGGAAAATGACTTCAATGCCTCCAGAGTCCCTATGTCTTTTTAAACCACAGCTTTCTCTATAAATTAGTAAGAGTTCTGGAATTAATTCCACGTCACTTGCTAATAAAAGCCAAGTCTCATGCTGAAATCAGCTGTGGAGAGTCCTTGCAAGATGGCTGCTGCTCGCGTCTTGCTGAAATAGAGCTGGCTTAGCACGCTGGGGCCCCTGATGCTCCCTTTTCTTTTAATTAATTAATTTATTTATTATTTTATTGAGAAACAAATAGCAATGAAACAGTTTCAAAACTGATTAATGGGATAGTTTCAATAATTAATACATTGTACATTGTTATCTTCTTAGTGGTTATCCATAGTACAAGAAGCAGACAGGATATCCTGTCCAAACACTATTAGTACAAATCTTTCTTCTCATTGAATTAAGCGAAAGTAGCTGTATATCTGTCCTAACTATTTTGTATATAAATACAAATTGGTCTTTCCTTGGTATCCCCTTTTTTTTGTTTAGTCCTTTCAGAGGTGGGTATTCTATTGGCGTCTAAATACTATAGGTGTTTGAATTCAGCTAAACAATTCAACGCTGTCTAGCAGTCTGTAATATTAGTGGGTTATCCTCAGAAGTTATTGACTTGAGCCTTTTGTAGCTCATCATATTAGTATGGCTTTACTTTGTATACCTCGTTTTTATACTTTTCTGCTGGATGGTTAAGACCAAGATAAAGCAAGACCTATATGACAAGAAATGTAGCTTTTGTATGTGACAAGGTCAGTGAAATCCCCTCAGGATTTACCCTGAAACCCTGTACCACAATTTGTAGATCTTTTGTCAGTGTCAGCCGTGTGGATGAGTCACGGCCATTGCTTGACCAATTTGCTCTCTGTGAAAGCCTGAGAGAATATTTTCTCTCCATGTGACTCTCCTTAGGTGCACTATCTTTCTTTTTTTTTTTTTTTTAATGGAGACTAGAGTGGCCTCAGGATCTTGAAAACTGAAGTCCTCTTCATGCCTGCCAAACTATTACTATTTGTTTATCCGGTGTAAAGAAACTGCTATGCCCCCTGCGTCACTCTGAACAGACACACACACATGCACACGCACACCACATCACACAAATGAAGCAGTCTTTAAAGGAGAGTGGTCAGTCTCCATTTAGTCAGAACCTTCTTTATTCCTGAAATCTTACTTTGGCTCAAACGACCCCCTGGAGGTCACTCATGCTCAGACTGGCTCTGCCTACACCACATGTGTGCACAATTATGCCCCATGTCTTACTGTGCTAAGTGCTTTTATGTATTAAGTGATTTACACTGCCTGTGGGAGGGCCAAGACCCGTAGCACCAGCTGGCCACCAATGCAAACCTGAAACCATGGGCCAAAATAAACCTTTCTTCCTTATACATTGCTTTATCCTCAGGTATTTTGTCTCTGCGGCAGAAAGCTGGCTAGCACAGCTGGACAGGATGTGAAGCAGGTTTGAACTCTCATTCTGACTGCCCCTTAGCCATACGGACTTCAGCTTCTGATGTGGTCAGCTATGCCTGCTTTGAGGCTACGCCCTCCTTTGCATTTGTGCCAGGTGCTTATTGGGCATTGCTTGTGTTAGTTTCTGTTCTAGGCACAGAAATTAGTTCAGTGACTGAAAATCAGACGAGTCCTTTGCCTAGTGCAGCTTGGATTGTACTGGCCAAGGCAGAGAATGTCAGTGAAAAATGCAAGTAATATATAAGTAAGTTGCACAGCACAGTAGAAGACGGCAGGTGATGTGGAAACATACACCTAAGTGGGGAGAGATGGCGGTTCCTCTGTGGCAGGAATGCAGAGCAGGTGAAGTGGCCTGGGGAAGCTCTGTTAAGAAAGAAGTGTTTGAGCCAGGAATGAAAGGTGGGATGCACTGCCAGGGTATTTGGGGTGGGACAGGCTGCAGGGCACAGGGACGGGAGGTGGGCTCAAGCCTGTTGTGTTCAGGGTATAGCAAAAAGGTGAGAGAGGTGGGGGGGCGTGGGAGGCTAAGGCCATAGCAGTGGGCAGAGCAGCGCTTGTGGACTGTATGGGGAATGAGGCTCTTCCTTTGACAGAAATAGGTCCCCTTGGGAGGTTTTGAGCAGAGAAGGGAACTGACACGGTGCACTGTTACAGGATCACCCTGGCTGTGGCAGAGGCAGTGGTGGGGAGATAGTTGGAGCTGTCCAGGGTCCCACAGACATGAGGGTGTCCTGGACAGGGCAGCTATGGGCCGCTAGAACTGGGTGCATTGTGGAGGCAGAACCCACATGGGTTGAGAGAAAGGAGGGATGAGAGGAGAAAAAGGGGGCGGACGAGGGGCAATGCCGTGGCTTTCAGCCTGGGGAATTAGAATGGAAGTGCTGCTAACAGACGGGAAGGGCTGTGAGTGGAGAGGATCAGGGCTCTGATTTTGAGCACAGAACAAAAAATACAACACTGAAAAGAGCATCTTAAATATCCAACAGTGTACAACTGGGTGGATAAATTACTATACTTGCCCACAGTGGAGCACTATGGGTCAAAAGAGACCTGCGCGTTGCTCATTGAAGTATTTAGTGAAAAAGATAAAGCTATCAGGTGATACTTGAGACAAGCCTGTTCATACAAAATTGCTTAGAAAACGTGAAAAGAGCGCAAACGTGAACGTGTATCACTACTTTAAACATTTCTATGATTAGTTTTTGTCAGTAGAAAGGGAGGTTGGGTTGCAACTGGCTTTGTCTCAGTGTTTGGTGCTCTGAGGCCTAGTTGTAGGGCCGTTGTATAGCGGACGGGAACTACGGAGACACCCGTAGCCTCACTTTGTAATTTGTGAACAGCTAATTAGCTGTTCCTGCTCTGAAAGAACACTGAGGAGAGACAGAGAAGTCCCAGTGCAAGTAACTTTTATCTTTCACCTGATGTTTATGCAAGGAGTTTAAACATCGCACCCATCTCTTCCCCCCTCTGTTAAGACCCATGTCACATTTAGGAGTCCATCTGCTTTCCCACTGTGCTCGTAGGTGATCTCTCTGTCCTGGGCGTTTCAGTTTTCTCCAGGACATGCTTTAGTAGTTCTGAAGCCTACCGTGTGTGAAGTTCTCAGTGCTGCCAATTTAAATCAGCACTTTTTAATTGAAGGCTTTTAAAGTACGAGCCATACTATGCGGGGAGACTTTCAAAACAGCCTCATAGTTTTGTGCTGTTCAATATCAAGGGCTAGTGGGCAGCTCGGGTCCCATGGTGCTGTGTTAGGTTCTGAGGAAGTGAGGTAGACAAGAGCCAGCTTCCTGTGTGAAATGATTGATTGATGTGATTTTGTTCTGTCATTTCAAGGGTGTGAAAAAGATAGACCCCAAGTGGTATGAAAAATTTAGCAACCACAGATTTGGAGAAGAAACGCTGTACCGCATAGACCTTTGTTCCATGGAGAAGAAAAAGCAAAGTAATGGTTATTATCATTGTGAGTCTTCCATCGTGGTTGGTGAGTGTCTTTTAATTAAAAATTATTTATTTCTTTAACATCACTTCATTTGACCACTATTTAAGGTTAGTTGTTTGTTTTCTCTGTGACATATTTTTCCAGAGGCTATATTTTGGCAATACTACATTGACAGTTTAGTAAAGCATTTTTATATTTATGTGTGTCAAGATTTTGCTCCTATGGTTTTTATGCATTTGTACTTTAAATATAATTGTAATGAAGTCTCCAAGTGGCTCAGTGTATTTGTTTAATTTTTTCACAATTTCTAAGAAAGCACTTTCTCCCAGGAAGGCCTTCATGAGCCTGCCCTGAGCACACGTGGCTTGGTCATGTCTGCTGCTTTTAATTGGGAGTAGAGTGACCCAGGTCAAGGAGGGCCACTCTGAAAAGAGAACGTGTAGGTGGCCTTCAGAACCCGAAGGCTTCTCTTTCTTCTGTAACAAAAACATGTTTGGAACAGAAACTGAGATTCGTGAGTAAATGCCCCCGATCCCCGGGGGAGCTCCTGTCAGGTGAAGCAGATGCAGCCCAGCTGGGTTCCCAGGGACGCCGCCTCACCCGGAAACAGGGTCACCCCCAGCTTCCACAAACAGCAAGTGTGTCACAGGAGCCTTCTCTGGCAGGATTTGAAAATACTATTGGAAGCCAAATACTATTCTTATAAAGGTTTGAATTTCACCCCAACCTAACTTACATACTTTTAAAGTAAAATGAAGATATCCAAAGAAGATAAATGTATGTCCAAATTCTTCAAGATCTTCAGCCAAGATGATTTCTTCCTACACCAGCCTGGTGAGAACCTACGGATATGCAGGGTGTACCTCCTCAAAGAGTTTTCATACTGAAGTTTATTAAAGCATTTAATAATGTTCAAGAGATACAATTTTATTTTTAAACCCTCATTACAGAACCTCAGGGAAGTCCTCGTGTTATCTTCCAAGAGTTATCTTAAACAGAAGATACTCCGTATGTCATTTGAATCTTATATCCTGAAACATTTCAAGTCTATTTTAAGAAGGATTTTCATGCTTTTGGAGCCAGTGGAAGAGAACTATCTTCTACCCAACGTCTGATGGGGACCAGACATTTCTAAAGTTCAAGTTCATCGCACGAGGCAAATTCAGGTTCTTCCTGTAGAGGCAGAATTTGGCCAGCTTTCCTTCTCTTTTCTGGAGTTACGTTAGTCCAGTCTTGAAAAGGAATACAGTGCTTCATGCCTTTCCCACTCCCGTTTAAAAGGGAAAAAACCCCAAGGATATGTGGATGTTCTGAAGATGTGGGTGGGCACTGGACAGGGTGCAGAGCGCCTTGCCAGCAGGGGGCTCTGTTCTCTCCCCACACGGCGATGTTGGCCACCTGGGAGTCCCAGCACTGGGGAGGCCTGGGCGGGAGGACTGCTGTGAGGCTGAGGTCAACCTGGGCCACATAGTGAGTTCAAGGCCAGCATAGTGAGACACGGTCTCAAAAAAAGAAAAAAAGGTGATTTAAAAGATATGAGCTCTTGGGGCTGGGGATATGGCTCAGTGGAATAAGGGCTTCCCTGGTAAGCGCAAGGGCCTGAGTTCAATCTCCAGTTCTGCCAAAAAAAAAAAAAAAGGATATTAGCTGTCTGTTTGCTATATTGGTTTCCAAAAATATCCAGATTTTATTTTGGACAGTTTTTAAGTGTTTTCAATTTTTATTACATTTAAACCTCTTATGATTCTGCAATTACTCTTATGATTAGAATCATCTCCAAGCCAAAGGTTTGATACATACTCATTTATAGTTTGTTCTAGTTTTATTGTTTTTACATTTGAGCTTGTTTTGGTTTTGTTTTGTCTTATTGACAAAGGATCTTTCTGTGGACACCAGAGCAGCCTTGACCTCACTGTGTGGCACAGACTGGCCTCAAATTTGCAGCTGTCTTTGGGCTTCAGCCCCCAAAGGCATGAGGTTATAGGTGTGTGCCATTATGCCCAGCCTGAATTTGAGTTTTTAATCTTCCTTGATTGAATACGATGGGTACTCAAACACAGAGGATTAAGCCAGATATCCAGTTACTAAAGATGTGTGTGAAGGAGTTAGGAAGGCAATATTTTTTAGACTTTTTCTTATACCTTACCACTTTCTCATTATGTATAATAGAGATCATACGTTAGTAACCCCAGCTGTTGTACATGATTCTCAAAAAGCTTATTGCTTAGTTTTTTATATAAATTGGATGATTTGCTAATATTGGGGTGATTTTATGTAAATCTGGATTTCTGTTTTCTTCCAAGAAATTGAAGGGTGTGGCCTCACTAGTCTGACATTTTGGCAGGGTGCCCGGATTTCCTGGGTGGAGAATTTATCCAGCTGTCATCCTCTGTTCTTATACCCACTCTCTTCCTGAGCACATCTGAGTGTCACCCTCTGCCTGCACTGCTGTGCCCTCTGCTCTGTCCTGTTCCCATGATGGGCGCCCCACCTGCCCCAACTCCTGTCATTTTAGGCTTTCATGTCCAGCGTTAGGGGACTTTGCTAAGATTGGAGACATCACTCATATTTTCAAATATTAAAAAAAATAACATTTAGTTGTTTCATAATCAGAACTTCGGGTGATAGGGTGCCCGCTTGTTGTTGGGCTACAACTCCTTGGTACCTCACTGCACTAAGCAGATAAAATTCAAGTCCAGAAAGAAATATAAAACACTTAGTGCTTCTTGGTAAGTGAGGGATGAAATATGGTCCAGGTGCCCTAGGGTCATGAAAGCTGTTCTCTCTGAGTACCATACTGGAGTTGAGTGAAACAATTTTTCCTCAGGCAGCCAGGTTCCATTTATACTTCCTGAGGCAGTTGATCAAGTGCCACCCTTGGCAAAGTGGATGAACAGTGTAGTGCCTTCAAGACTAGTGTCCTTTTACCTACCACATGTACCATATGCAAGGCAGTGGGGAGCTTAGAAAAGTCTAGGAGATGTTTGTCTGTCTGTCTCCATCCATCCATCCATCCATCCATCCGTCTGTCATCTATCTGTAGTAGACCTGTATATTTCTTTCATAAATTCTGTTGAGATGGAAACAATGATTTTCTGGCAACTCCAGTATTTTGGGCCTATCCCTCCTAATTCAACATTATTACATGTTATCAAGTTTGTACAGTGTGCCTCCTGCTCTCAGATATTATGGAATACAGAGAAGAATAAGACATAGTCCTTACGAGTGATACAGTCGCTGTGGTGCCAAGGCTATACGGAGAGGGAGGAAAGCCAGAACAGGGCTTGTCCATAACAACATGGGCTTTTGTGGACACCAAGAAAAAGCCTGTGGTTTCACCTCCTGGGAGAGTGGGGATGAGAATTAGCAGAATTCAGCTAAATCATACAAGAAATAGACTGTGGAGAAAGGAGATTTTCTAGACCAAAAGGTGTGATTTACAGTGGAAGAGTGGGCTGGAAGAAGTGACAATGGCAGGAAACACCTTGGGGGAGCCAACAGCGCGGGGAGCTGAGGAAACTCCTGGGCGGGCAGTTGCCAGCTTTGCATTTATGAGCAGCTGGCAGAGGCACGGACCGAGTTCACACAGACTGAGGTGGCAAATGTGCTCCGGCAGAGGCGGAGTGGATGGATGTGGGCTAAGGAGAGGCTGGCACTGAACACAAGGATGCAGGACTTGTGCAAAATGAAATTGTCACAGTGTATCCCAGCCGTTACAGGGCCATACCCTCAAGATAAGGCATGAGTTAGTTCTGGCTGTAGCAGAAGAGGCAATGAGGGAGGTGACAGAGCTGCTGAGAGAACAGGAAAAGGCTCACAGACAAGTCAGTCATTGCCGCTGTGCTCCTTGTCTTCTGGTGGAGTTGGTCTGAAAAACACATGATAAGTTGAAACTATTGTAAGTAGAAAACGCATTTATTACGCCTAACCTAGGCAACACCATCATTTAACGTGGTCCACGTTAACCTAGAGTTGGGCAGAAGCGTTCAACAAAGTCAATTTGAAAGTCTCCTGTAATTTATTGAGTACCTGTGTCCAAAAAGCACTTGAAGAGCACTCCTGGGAGGGTGGAGTCCCAGTTGTTTCCCTTGGGATGGCGCCAGCCATGTGGATCAGGAATTCCGTGTATCTTATCCAGTCTGTACCCAGTTCCAGGGAGACTGCATAACAGTATACTGGGCTCGGCCTTGATGCACTGAAATAGGAGAATGCTGAGTAACTTGAGCTGATCCAGATAGCCCTCCTTATTGAGAGTTCACCTTTGACAGACCTCGCGGCATATGTACCTGCCTGGCAAGCTCAAGATCCTGAGTTTGATCACCGGTACAAAAAAGAGAGAGAGCTGGACATTTTATTTTATGCATGTATGTATGTATGTATGTATGTATGTATTTAGTACAGGGCCTACAGGGTCTCACTATACAGATCGAATTTGTAGTGGTCCTCCTGTTTTCAGCCTCCAAGGCACATGGGGGATGGAGCCTGGTCCCTGCATCTGCCCAAGCAGGTGCTTTAATCCAGTGAGCTATCTGGCTGGCCCTGAGACCTGGACTTCTTAAACCCAGCCTATCCAAAGCTTGGCATGGTTCGCCCAGGGATTTCTGGTGCAGATCCCTCGAAGGTGGTTTCAGCCATAAGAAGATTGTATTGCACCTGGAGCCGGGCGCTTCTGACAGAGGGCCCTCAGCTCTGATGTTGGTGTCCTACCCATCAGGTCTGTTAACCCTAGAGACCAGGCAGAGCTTGGCAGGCATCGAGCTGCCACTTGTGCTCTGTGCCCAGTCACGATGTGGGCCCCTAGGTCATCCAGGTGGAGGAGGGCATAGTGTCAGTGCGGTTGGCCCGCTGCTTGGAGCAGGAGGAAGGGGTGGAGAGAAGCACTCAGCACCACTTCCCCATGCCAGGAAGACATGGCCAGGACAAAAGCTTTCCAGACAATTGAGCTGGACCTTTGTCTGATAAATGATTAGTAATACAGTGTTTAGCTTGCGTACATTTATATTACTTAAATAGCATCTGCTCACTTAAAGGTCTTCTTAATA